ACCCCAGCTCTGCCACTCACCCTCCAACTTGAACTAACCCCCTTTTTATCTCCCCCCCCTAAAAGGACTCCCACGACCCAAGCAGCTCACAGCAAGATAATGCGACAAATTTTAGCGTTTTTGGGGTTCTTTTTTTTCCTCCTCTATAAACATTCTTGGGTGTTAAAAGCGACAAAGAAAAAAAACATACGTAGAAACTGAACTGACCTACAGCAAAAGCAACAAAAAACAAAAACACTCACTTCTGGGCATAGCTGCTTTGTTAAGCATAAACGAAAACAAAAATTACATTAGATGTTTGGAAAAGATATAGACAAGTAATTGTTAAGCTAATTACTAGGAGTAAAGCAGGCCTGGCTATCATTACTTCTAGAGACACCGACTGCAGAGGCACAAAGCAGTTCATTAATGTGCAGTTCATTACAGAAACCTTAATATTTTCAGAGTTATTCTTTATCTTTCAGCTTTTTCTGCTAAGCAGCAGTAAGCCTCTGCAAGAGGTGGGAAATTCAAGAGGTGACACTCATTGAAAGCCCTTCTCACAGCCCCCTGGCCCCCTCCCCAGCCCAGCCCGGGGCAGTTGGGGGCTGTTACCTCCTCCAGTCTGTCCAGGGCATCGTTGAGCTTCCGCTGGCGCTCCAGGGCCAGGAGCCAGACCTGCTGCCAGCGCCCCGAGAGCTGGTTTATCCTGGGGTTCTTTGTTTCTGACTGGGAGATGATGGGCATACTGGGAGGCGCAGCCTGACTCAAGGATTTTCCTGGAAAAAAATGGGAGAAATGAATTGTTTGAGGCAGTGTTGATGGGTTGGGTAAGGCCAGGGAAGAGCAGCAACGAAATGCAGTTTGCTTTTCAGATAGAAAGTTTTCCATGGCCTTGCTGCTGCTCTCTGAAGGGATGGAGTGTGCCCAGGAAGGAGGATGAGGATGGATGGCTCTACACCCAATCCCCCAGCAATCCTTTCATACTTGGGAATTTATATTGGACTTTGCCTTCAAGAAACAACATAAAAACCTCCCCAAAACCTCATCACAAAGCAACTCTACAGAGAAAGAGCTGAGCAGTGACAGCAGAAGCTTCCCCCAGCTCAGCACACCCCACAACGGGTGCTTTGGCAAATGCCACCTGGATTTTCCCCTCCCGAGAGGTTCCAGCCGCCTTCCTGGTGGCTGTCAGGGCAGGATGCCTCGTTAATTGATAATGAGAAGTTAATTTGTTTCCTAGGCAATTCATTTCCTCCCCCTGTAGAGCCACGTGGGGACCACGTACTGCTGCTGCGGGACTTGTCACCAAAGGGCCCGTGGGGGGGCTCAGTAGCCTTCCTCTTGTATGTCTTCGTCACCCTGTCCACGTCCGGCTGCTTCCGTGTCATCTCCTCCATAAAGGACTGTCAAAAGACAGAAGGGACAAGAAACTCTTTGCAGTTTTGAGATGTTTTCAGTCTCCTGTTGCTCCAGGTCCTCGCTGGGATGTGCCAAGCCCAGAAGGGATGAGTTCATCCCCTGGGCTGGCTTTGCTCCTGGGTGACATCACATGATACTTTAACAGGGACTTTCAAGAGAAGTCATTGAATCAGAGAATCACTACAGCTGGAAAGGACCTCTAGGATCACCAAGTCCAACCTTCATCCCTAGACATTTCCCTAATCACTAGATCATAGCCTCAAGTGCTCCATCTACTCATTTTTTGAACCCCTCCAGGGATGATGACTCCAACACTGCCCTGGGCAGCCCATTCCAGTGCCTCACCACTCCCTCAGGGAAGAAATTCTTCCCAATACCTAATCAAAACTTCCCCAGGACAACTTGAGGCCATTTCCTCTCATCCTATCATCAGTCATTTGGGAGAAGAGAGCAACACCAGCCTCACTCCAACCTTCTTTTAGGTAGTTGTAGAGAGCAATAAGGTCTCCTCTTCTCCAGACTAAACAAGCCCAGTTCCCTCAGCCAGTCTTCTTAAGGCACGTTTTCCAGCCCTCTCACCAGCCTCATTGCCCTGCTCCAGCACCTCCATATTCTTCTTACCCTGTGGTGCCCAAAACTGGACCCAGGACTCAAGGTGTGGTGTCCCCAGTGCCCAGTCCAGGGGCACTATCACCTCCCTGCTTCTGCTGCTCATCCTGTGTCAATGTCCCCTCTGTGGAGTTTTTCCCCCCCCTGCCCCTCTCTGAGCGCCCGCCGTGTTCGGCACCGGGCTCACCTGGTGTTCAGAGATGAGGCCTTTGACCTGATCAATGTTTTGTGGCATGGGCTCCTGGTCCCGCTGGATCAGGGTTGTCTCAGCCCACTGGATCCAAGCCAGGAGCTCTTCCAGCAGCTCTGCATTTGCCACCAGCTCAGAAAGGGCTGACTCCAGCCTCTGCTGGTGCTGCTTCGCCCACGTGAGAACCTGTTGGGAACGTGGAGACGACATCAGCCCAGCGTGGGCCACCCGGGGCAGGAACCCACAACCAGCCCTGCTGCCAGTGTCCACCACTGCCTCCCGCCAGCAGCCTGGAACAAAGCCTGGGGCACTCACCTCCTCGAACCTGGCTCGGATGATGGTGATCCAGTGTTTGATGGTGGTGATGCAGTCGGGATGGCAGGCGGCCAGGATCACCTCGCCCATGCCCACCGCCGCGTTCACGTCCGCTCTTTTCTCCTCCACTTTCTTCATGAACTCCTGAAAGGCCCGGGTGAATTATTTTGGCAACGTTCTCCCCTGTAAATTTTGCCCGGGTTGTGGTTTCAAGAGCTCCTGGTTACCTTGTGGGTGTCGATGAGGGTCTGCAGTGCCTCGGCGTCGTCGGGAAGCGCTCCCCGAAAGCGCAGGGACTGCTCTGCCTCCGAGAGCCACTCCAGCAGCACGTGCACGGCCGTCCTGAACTCCTCTGCCTGTGGTGACAGAAGCACAGGGGTCAGCCTTCCCCCTCCCCAAACGGGCTGTTCTGCTTGCTGCTGACAGCTGGAGAGACAAACGGCTGAGAGGGACTTCCAAAACAAATAACAAAGGGTGAAACGGCACGAGGGTTGGAGTTAGATGATCTTTAAGGTCTCTTCCAACCCAAATCATTCTATGAAGAAAGCCCTGTCTGTCTGTCTGGGTTTGTGCAGCAGCAGCAGATGGGGCCTGTTGTGGCCAGGCACCCCCATGGCACCAGCTGAGCTGAAGAACTCAATGTTTGTAAAAACATCACAACGACCTGTGCTCTGACCACTTTGGTACCTGGGCTGTTTATCCCATACATTGTCCACTTGATGTAAAAACTACTTGAGAGCCTTTGACCTTTTGGGGTTTTAGCTTCAATCTGGGCCTCTCTCTTGCACTGGACATTAGCCACCACCAGTGTGGACACAGTCTCTGATCACCACTCTGCTCCTGCTGCAAACATCAGCGAGACCTTTTCACCCTCCCTTTTCACATCAGCCTTTATTGGCTCTCCTTTGGGGAAAAGAGTAAGTAAAGAGCTGACACCAACCCCCTGCTTTGCACTTCTCTCTGGTAGCTGCTGCAGGGCTGGGGTGTCCTGCTCAGCCACATCAGGCACTGGGCAAAACCTCTTCTCTTGAGGTTTGTGTTGACCTCCCGGCACAACCCTGGAGCCCAGCAAAGCTCTCAGAGACCATTTCCACCCACAGGCTTCTGCTCACCTGCTTCAAGGCCTGTTCCAGGCGGGTTTGCTTGGACACAGACAGCTTGCACACCGTGTCCCAGCGGTTGCTCAGCTCCTGCAGCTGCACCTTCACCCAGGTCGTGTCATCCCGGCTGTTCTCGATGAGCTCCCGACCCGAGCGCTTCAGCACCTGCACTGTCCCTGTCCGCTTCCCCAGCTCCTTCTGGAAGACCTGGTGGGAGAGAGAGTCGCCTTTCCAAAACTAAACCCTCAACAGATCTGGTAGCATCTCAGAAGAACAGAGCTCCAGCTCCTGTAACCTTCCCAGGAACCTAAAAGCTTCTTGCCACTTGTTCGCCCTGTTTTAGTTCTCCTTGTCCATGACAGAAAAACAAAGCAGTGAGACACTCAGCACTGCTGCAAGGCACCAGCTCTGGCTCCTCTGTTCTCCAGCTCCTGGGGAAGCCAAGCCCCACTCATGTCCCAGAGAAGAGCTGGAGAAGGCACTCTCACCTTGTGAGCATCCATCAGGTTCATGACCAGATCCAGGTCACCGTGGACAGGCTGGTCTTCAGCTAGCTGGGGTTCCACCTTGTAGAGCCAGTCCACCAAGGCCTGCAGAGCATCCATGAACTGGCCAGAGAACAAGAGGGCTTCTTCCAGCTTGTGCTGCCTGAAACAAACACCTCTGTGAGCTTCCAGGAACAATCACACCTCCTTTTGTCATCTCCAAGCAACTTCCCCCAACCACCCCATGACGACCTCCAACCACCCTCTCCCCTGCTCTCCCCTCTGATAAGTCTTTAGCAAAGGAGCACTCTTGGCACAAGGCTGGGGCTGGACTTACCTCTCCACAGATTTGCCACACACCGTGTCCCACTTATCCCGGACTTCTCCCAGTAAATTGTCCAGCTTTTGGGTGTCATCTGGAAGCAAGGCCTTCTCCTTGAGGGCTCTGCCTGTTCTGATGGTGGTGTCGTAGACAGGCTGCTTCCCCCCCAGAGTCTTCTGGAACTCCTGGGAAGCAGAGAGAAAACAAAATTGCTTCAGAAAGCCTGGCCCTGTCTCTCTGAAGATACGTGGTGCTTGTGAAGATCCCCAGCTGAATGTTTTCCATGGCAGCAGCAGGTATGGACATGCTTTTCCTGTCCTGACAGCAGAGGAGATGTTTCCTTGCCCCCCCTCCTGATGCAGCCAGCACCAATCTTGCTTTGGCAAAGCTCTACCTTGTGTTTGGAGAGCTGAAGCTTGATTTTGTCAGGATCATTGGAAATCTCCAGCTCCGAGTCCAGGTGATTCTCTGCATCCTCCAGCCAATCAATCAGTTTCTTCCAGGCTTCATGGAACTGCAAAGAAACGGGAGCAAGTCTGAGACTTAACACTGGTGGTGTCCCCAGTCCCTTTGTGGTCTCAGGACCTCCTGCCCTTCAAGGGTGGCTGTACCTCAGCCTCTATCACACCCTTCCCAGGACTCTCACCTGCTTGGCTCGCTTCCTGGCATCATCAAGAGCCCGTCCCCGCTCCACCGAGCGCTGGACGACCTTCTCCCAGCGAGACTGGACGCTCACCAGCAAGTTCTTGATCAATACCACATCCTGCTTCTGACTGAGAAACTTCAGCTGGTTCCCAGTTTGATCCAGCTCGATGATCCGATCCCGGTGAGCGTTCACTTCATTGGCAAACACCTGCAAACAGCAGAGATGTCCTCCTGTCTGTGAGGAGAGCTGGACCTGCCTGCGAGCAGCCCGTGGGCACAGGGGGGATCACAGAACCCTGCAATGGTTTGGGCTGAAGGGACCTTTCA